TTCTCTACCTGGGGTGGGATAATCCTGGTTATATGTACAAACTGGGGGATGAGAGGCTGGAGAGCAGCCCTGCAGAAAGAGATGTGGGGGTTTGGGTTGATGGCAAGTTGAACATGAGTCAGCAGTATGCCCCGGCAGCCAAAAGGACCAACCATGTCCTGGGGTGCATCAAGCACACCACAGCTAGCTGGTCGACGGAGGTGACTGTCCCACTCTACACTGCGCTCGTGCAGCTCCACCCTGAGTGCTGTGTGCAGTTTTGGGTGCCTCAGTATAAGGAGGACATCAAACTGTTAAGACCGTGTCTAGAGGAGGGTGACCAAGATGGTGAAAAATCTCAAGGGCAAGACTTGGGAGGAGTAGCTGAGGTCACTTGTCTTGTTCATCTTGGAGAAGAGAAGGCTGAGGGGTGACCCCACTGCAGCCTACGGCTTTCCTCAAGGGAGGCAGCGGAGAGGTGCTGATCTCCTCTCTCTGGTGACGAGCGATAGAACACAAGGAGGTGGAATGAAGCAGCGTCAGGGGAAGTTCAGATGGGACTTTAGGAAACGGTTCTTCACGGAGAGGGTGGTTGGTCACTGGGACAGCCTCCCCAGGGAAGTGATCACAGCACCAAGCCTGTCATCGAGTTCAAGGAGCATCTGGACAATGCTCCTAGTCATATACTTTAGTTTTAGGTAGTCCTGCGAGAAGCAGGGAGTTGAACTCAACGATCCTTATGGGTCCCTGCCAACTAGAGATATTCTATTTCCTTTCAATTAAAAAAGTAGCTTTGTTATTTAAAAAAAAAATTGAGTATTTAATACAATCAGATTTTATGGATTAGACTTCAGGAGATTGTGAGAGACTGAATTGTTACCTTGAGCTGTTTGTCTCAAAGATTGTTAGGCGTGAGAGACTGGACTGTCATCTCAAGCCGTTCATCTCAAGAACTGTGAACTGCTTATCTCGAGCCTTTTGTTTCTGGGATAGCCTGCCTAAGCAGGACACTCCTCTGTCCATAAGGAGGATTACTAGGCCACTGAGGCATCCAGGAGAGGAAACAGGCAAGCCAACAAGTATGCAAGAACATGGAGGCTACCATTCTCACAGAAACTGTAGTCTTTGAGGTAAGATACTGGTTTCTGGTGTTGATCACACGAAGGTCGCGTGACAGATGAAACGTTCATGCACTGTTCACACACTGCATGAACAATACGCCTGTGCATACCTTATCAAAACATGCCCTATTAAAAAATCGTGTAGACAAGCTGTGGTGTGCACCCACCACCGAAGAATTGAAGACTGAGGACCAAAGGGTCGCTGCTGGATCCACGGTGGTGACTATCCTTGCAACTCTATCCTGACTGCTTGCTTGATTTCTGCCTTTTCTTCCATTCTATCCTATCGCTACTATTTTATACTTTTGATAATAAAAGCTCTTTTGGGTATACGGCATTTGACCTCATTTGTGTCTTAATCTCGCTCTTGGAATCATATCAAAACCTTCCCCGACATTGGATCGGGACAGAGATTAAGGGAGAAAGTAGAAGGCTGACAGGGCTGACTTGGAAGAGGTGAGGGATAATTTGTACTTTCAGTTGGAAAGATCATAGAGAAAAGGGAGCTTTATAAAGTGTGTGTATGCATGTACATATACATACATCTGTCTATATATTCTGTTTATTGATGTGCATTACCAACAGAACTGGGAGTTCACATCCATTAGAAATAAACATGCCCAGCAAAGGCAATGGGATTACAAATATTACAGTAAATTCCTTAACATGAATGCCCTTTTTTTAATATACCTTAAATGATGCATACAGAAGAGAACACAATTTCACTCTGCTCTGCAAACTCATGCTTGACTAAGTAAAAATATTTTGTGTATAAGCTGAATATTTGCAATACAGAATTAGAGAGCTTCCTGGTTTAACCCCAGCCAGCAACTAAGCACCATGCAGCCACTTGCTCACTCCCCCACACCCAGTGGGATGGGGGAGAAAATCGGCAAAAAAAGTACAACTTGTGGGTTGAAGTAAGAACAGTTTAATAGAACAGAAAAGAAGAAACTAATAATGATAATGATAACACTAATAAAATGACAACAATAATAATGAAAGGATTGGAATATAAAAGTGATGCACAATGCAATTGCGACCAATGCCCAGTTAGTCCCCGAGCGGCGATCCCCCCCCCCCCCACTCCCTCAGCTGATATACTAGACATGACGTCCCATGGTATGGAATACCCCTTTGGGCAGTTTGGCTCAGCTGCCCTGGCTGTGTCCCCTCCCAACTTCTTGTGCCCCTCCAGCCTTCTTGCTGGCTGGGCATGAGAAGCTGAAAAATCCTTGACTTTAAACATTACTTAGCAACAACTGAAAACACCTGGTGTGTTAGCAACATTCTTCTCATACCTAACTCAAAACCATAGCACTATACCAGCTACTAGGAAGACAATTAACTCTATCCCAGCTGAAACCAGGACAGAGAGAAAACAGGTTCCAATTCTACACAATGCAACATGTAACTTTATTTCAACTCATTGCTTAATCTATTAAAAAAGTTAGGATAATACTCTTTTAATATTACACCACAGATTATTCTTGAAACAAGAATTGTTGGCTTTATTTCTTTAACTATGTATTTCTGTAGAAAGGCTAGGAAATGGGGTTCCAATCTCAGTGAAAGCTTTTACTTAACTTAGCTAGCACAAACACTTTCAGATGACTGAAAGCTACTATGTCACCTTTCTCTTATCCCTCAGCATGAAATAAATTAAAAAGAGCATATTAATATTTGTCATTCGGTATTCAACATCCATGAGACCTGTAGTTCACTAATTCGACTTACTGAATTAAGTTTTTCATCTAGAAAACAGACTAAGAAGTGAGCTTCCCCTGTTCCATGAAGGTAAAAAAATTCATGCTCTAGAATACATTGGAAGTTTGGATTTCTTACAGAGCTGGTTTTAAAGCCAAGACTGAGATGACATGATTTTTGTCTCATGTTGATTCTAATGTAAAAATTCAATCAAAAAAGAAACTTTCTAAAAAGAAAGAATTGATCTTAAAAAATCTAAGCCTTAAATCGTTAAATACTTAAGGAAAAAAACAGTACCAGAAAAAAATTTTAACAAATTGCAACCATCTATTACAACATCTTTTTGCTTGGGGCACCTTTGCTTCCCATGCACTCATCAGTGAAACAACGTTTTCTTAATTTATCAGAGAGAGTCAGTAGGAGGCACATCCTTTTTCATTTCACAAGAAGGGCATTAGAGTAAATACTTAATTTTTTTCCAAGGTAATAGTTTGAAAGTCAGGTCAAATGCCCATAACTATTACTCAGGAAATCTGTATTTCTAAAAGTTATGCATAAAAACTGTAAACAAAACCAAGAGTAAAATAAGTAATCACAATCCCGCATCCTATCTCTGGAAACAAAATCATGTAAAACTGATGTTTACAGCATTATAACCTTCACATTCCCTAGTCAAACCCTACCATGGTACTGGATTTTAGTATTTTATGCGTATATACACACTGGCAAAATTTTATACATAGGCACAAACATTACTTGCATATGAATGTCAAGAAAGTATCTATTTGCCTTAAAATCTGTCATATAACAGTGAAAAATAAGAGCAACAGCTATAACAAAAAATATATGCAGTCGGGAGAAAACTCAAGTGTATTAAGAAGCAAGTGTTGAACAAGTTCAAAGTAAAACCCTAGAAATTTGTATAAAAATCATCATCAATCTGTTAAAGAGCGTTTAAAACTCAGTAAGGCTGTTTTAAGCATATCTGTACGTGAATGGATGCCTATTACATACACTTTATATACATATGAAATCATATTTAATTTTTCTAAGTGGTCCTTATTCAAACCTACCCAGATGTAACACAGTAACATATAAAAATGGGTAAATACCAACTTTTTTGCTATTCAGTTTTAAAAATCGAAATTTTATTTGCCTGAACGTCTTTGCATTAAAATTGAAGCATCCAGACATGAATGACTCCCTCCTGTTTATGCTATTCCTATTTAATTTTTGTAAGGAAAAAAAATACGTGGTTTGAGAGGACATGTCTGTCATTCACTTCCTACTACAACAGATGCGTTAATAAATATGTATTTCTTTTCGTCCCCTGCCTGGGAGGAACAATACTGTTATTTTGTGAACCTCAGTGTTTCCCATCTGAGTGCATCCCTCGCATGCAACCGACATCATGAGAACAGCTACAATTTAGAGAAACAATCTATGTCCGTTATTGACTTTCATTTACTGCACGCGTCTTATCAGGGGCATTTCTGAGCACAAGGCAGGGCAGGTTCCGTCCCTCTGTGAACAGCTATTTTGGCTTCTGTTAGAGCGGCCCTTTCTCAGAAAACTGAGAGAGGAAAGAGCCGAGGGCCTTTCCAATAGGGGGAAAAAAAAAAAAAAAAAAAAAAGAGTTGGTCCCGCCGGCATGCAGCGCCCGGGCAGCACGGCCTGGCAGCGAGCCGGGCGGGGGCCGGGCCTGCGGCTCTATCGCCCGACCCCCCTCCGCTCAATCCGAGCGAAGAGAAAGGTGGGCCACAGAAAGGGGGTTTTCGGGGGAAGGGGTGGGGAAGCGACCTGCGCCGGGGGAGCGCTGCGGGGCAGCCTGCGAACACGCTTCTCCCCGGGCCTTTGGCTGCGACTCAGTGCCGGCACCCCCAGCGGGCGGCCGCAGCCCTGGCCGCCTCCACGAAAACACAAACCCCGCCGCTCCGGAGACGCCGCGGCTGCTCCCCTCCTCCGGGCCGGGGCCGCCATCTTAAGACCGGGCGAAGCGCCTCTCCCCGACCGCTCCTGCCATACAAAGGGGTGCGACCACGTGACCCCCGTGCGCGAGGCTCTGCTGCCCGCACTCAAGATGGCGGGCGGGGCCCTCTGCCTCTTCCCTCCCCTCCACCCTCCCGGCCCTTCTAGGCCTCTTCCTCCTCCCAAGTCTCTATCCCTCGGGAGGCGGGCGCAGGCCCCACTTACTCCGGGGGATAGAGGCGCAGCTCCTCGATATCTCCCAGGAAGCCGAAGAGAGTCCGCATCTGCTCACTGGTCACTGCCGAGGAGAGGTTCGTGACCTGGATGACGGACGTGGGGCCCAAGGGGAAGCCCAGCGGCACCCCGATCCCTCCGCTGTTCATCATGGCGGAGCCTGCACGACCGCTGCACTCGCAGCGGTGCCGCACGCAGCGGGAGAGGCGGGCCCGACGACGGAGAGGAGCGCGCGGCGCCTGCCAGAGCGTCCTAGCGCGCGGCCGCTCTAGCGACGGACTCGACTGCTCCCTGGAGGAGTTTCTGGGCGGGCGGCTGTTCGGCCCTTGCCGGCCGGGGCTCGCGGGGGAGCGAGCGAGCGAGCGAGCGCGAGCGCGCCCCCGCCCCGCGCAGGCCG